CATGACAACATTTGTTTTCCGAATAAGGTCCAAAAACCTGGTGAAAACACATATTAAATGAAGTAAGCCATTTTTGCCTTTTTAAAGTAAAATTAAAAAATTCATAAATCAGTCAAAATCCATCCAAATTATGACAGAATATGAAAATCTACTCTACTTTACCTGTTTAATACTATACAGTTCGATAAAAGCTATAAAAATCAACAGAAAATACTTTGGTTTTGAAAAAGGTTTTCTAGAAATCTTCTGAAGTACAAAAATATTTTCGACTATTCTCAAGTAAAAAATCGTACTGAGCAGGTAAAATAGAGTAGATCTTTATATTCTGGCATAACTTGGATGGATCATGGCTGTTTCCATTCGTTTTTGAAATTGCTACACTGAAAGAAACGTTGATTCTAGGACTCTCAGGAAATTCAATGCCACACCTGAACCAGACACAAATTAATAAGTCGCTTAGTTCTCAGTTTGGAGAGGACACTTTTAACTATCTATCTATAAAAAGAAATCAATAGATTTTTATGTCAGTTTCTAGAGATCTTAGCTAGTTTTCCAAAGATCTTCTAGAAAACCGATCTTTCAATAATTTCGGAAAGCAACTTTGCTTGTGAACACATAGCTTCAGGTATCCTCGTTTGATTTTTGAAAATTGCAAGTTTCTATCATCTGTTATCATTGAGTTATTCGAAAAATAACCGAGTGCCAACCGCATTTTGGCGTCAATAGTAGTACGATTCACAGCACTTAAAGTTTATACAAATAATATGAATATTGAACTACAAATTCGTTTTTGAGTCATGAACATTCCAGTGATATGGACTGAATCTTACGGATCTAGCGAAATCGTAGAGCTGCTTATACCCTCCCTTAGAATATATGTAATTTAGTTTAATTACTACAATACATATTACTACATACAACACAATATATACATAGCTCAATCATTAAAGTAATATAGTATCGACTGTGTTCTATTTCGAATGTAATTTAAGGTTGTTCATGTCACATTTAAACAAAACTATTTATTTTCTTTTAATTGATTTTCAAATGGAAACATATAAATTTTTCCGATTCATTTTTTTTCAGATTAAAACTCGAAATGATGAAATACGTAAAATACAGGCAGATTTAAATAATGTTGAACGTAATCAACAAGAATTACTCAAACGAACAAGAATGGAAACAGAGTCAGCTGAAGCGTCTGAAACAAAAAATTCGGAAGGACGAAGGTATCTGTAGTTTTCTGCGTTATAAGCAATGTTAATTAATATCTCTAATATACCTTTAGACACAAACTTCAATTAGATATAAATCAATATCGTACGAAATTGCAAGAGCAACAACAACGAAATAAAAAAGCAGAGTCAGATTTAAGACGAGAAAAATGGAGACACGAAACGGGGTTAGTTGACAGTGTTTTAATTCACTTAATCTTACTTATTAATTCGATGTTTTTAGTTTGGAAACTTGGCTTACGAAATATGACAATGAAATGAGACAAAAACAGGTATGTTTTCTATTTACAATGGTCAACTATTTTGAATAGAAATTTATTTTTCTTCTTCTTAAGGATGAATATGATGAAATCGAAGCACAATACACTGAAGAAAAACGTCTATTAATGGAATTAGAAGAAAGATTTGAAAAATTAAAAACAGAATATTTGCAGGTTTGTTTCTCTTCTATAAATTTTTAACTCCATATCTGACGTTTCGTTTGCTGCATAGATAATGACTGAACGAGCAGCGGAAGAAGCACGTTTGGCCGCTGAAAAAGCATTACGCGAACGTCGATGGAGAGCTGCTGGTAATATTCAACGATTTTGGAATGGCTTTAAAGTTCGAAAGGGTCTCAAAGCTAAAAAGGGCAAAAAGAGTAAAAAAGGCAAAGATAGTGCTGCGTCAAAAGATAAAAATAACCGTAAATGATCAATAATTTTCTTTTTCTGAAAAAACTTTTTGTTTATTTTTATACATACACGTATACATTGGATTTGATTCACTATTTTTATATATGATCAGAAAATAATAAATAAAGACTTTTGACTACTTTAATATGATGATGAGATCTAGCATCTATCATTTGTTTAAAATGGCTATCTTAGTTTTAGAAACTTCTCTATTATGGGATATAATATTAGATAATGCTATTTCAAAAGGTAAGATTTAATGATCGGCTACTATCTGTTTGAAAATATAGCCAGCTCCGATGTTTTTATAATAACTTTTGAACGACAAGAGCTGGAGACCTCCGATTTTTAGTTTCTTAAACTAGACAACGGGGCACATAGATCTATGAAATAATGACCTGTCCAGAGCAGGTCTACCATGGTGTACCTTTCGAAACAAAATGTCCGCGCCTGACATTCCAAAAATCTATATAGCAAAGTATTATTCTAAACACATGTGGATATAAGACAAATGTCGCTCTGCAGCATGGCACAAGTGCCAAGTCTCCGTCTACTGTGATTCGGGCTTTACACCCAATATCCGGGGACCTGTCTATGGGCTAAACCTGAACCCTCTGAACTTCAAAAGTACATGGTACATAGGTTTTTGGGTACACTAAATCTCGTGGCAATGTTTGTTTTGTTGTCCGAATTAAAGAAACTTCAAAAGATGAGTTTTTCAGAAAATTCAATTTTTTCGTTATGACCGTACTAAAATAAAAAGCTTCTAGCACTTTCATTTTTCAATCAAATTGCTTCAAATTTTCAAAACTCATTCAATCTCGAATGCAGTTCGCTATATTTTGAAACAGTGACTTTCAAGAAATTCTGACTTTTGCTTACTTTACTTACTTACTACTTAAATACTTTAAAAAATATAAAATATTCAAGAATTACTTCTATCTGACAGTCTATTAATTTGCATACGTTGTAGATGACATAACGTAGCGTTTATAATTATTCCTTTTGCACAAAACTATACATTGAATAGTTTCGTTTAAAAAATTTACTATTAGCTTTTTAAATAATTGCGATAAGAACTAAATAGAAAAAATATAGGTTTTGATCTACAATCTAGTTTAAAAAAATTCTTCCTTTATGTAGGAAAAAGATAAACCAATTCTAACACAAAAAAAGTTTACAATGTTTGGCATAATTACGAGACCCTCTGATGATTTTAGAAGAAAAGTATTTGTTCTGTTTTAACAAAAATTAGTGCATTAGCCGCAGTGACGGATTCGAAATTTTTCCTAAGAGCATTCAGGAAGAAAGTAGATAAGAAAAGTGTAAGTTAGGCGCGATCGTTACACAAACACAATTTCCTGAGGCAGTTCTGCTGGACAAAAATCATTTCTAACGCTAGTGATTAGTTGGGATAGACATGTCTATGATCCATCCAAGTAAACCTCTCATCCGCATTACCATACAAAGTGCGGCACTGCCAGTGCGCATCAGTAACGATGCTAACACTAGCTGGTAACGGGTGCCACACTGATTTTCAACGGTACTGCACTGAAATATATTTCGGGGAATTATCTGAAACTAATTGAAAATTGCTGATTTTTTCGAAATAACGATTTAGTTCGCGATAGCACGCATAATCTCTTCAATATCTAATTGTGTTTGTCTCACACATTGGTCATTTTTGCAAAGCTCGAGCTATAATAACTGAATAGCTGACTTCTATCTATTTTAGTAACGAGGTATTACTGTACGTACATGAGTTGAACTTATGAGAATGAAAAATAGATACACCTTTCAATCATTAAAGTACCTTAGTCTAGAGAAGTCCCAAATTCCAGTTAAGTTCATTTAAAACGTCAACGGTCAAAAAATTCGTCAGGAAAAACTAAAGAATGGCGCCAGTGCCGAACAAGTACCCATAAAGTATACTTTATACCAGCACGAGTGCGCACCGATGCCAGAAAGAACGTTGAAATCCCGCATCGATGTGTATCGGTGTGATCCAGCAAAAAACTATTCGACAAGATTAGTGTGCACTCGTGCAGGATTACGGAATGTCGATAGAAGTTGTTTTGCAGGGGTACCCTTTTTGAAAAAAAAGTTCAATAGATAGAAGTCACTATGCTGACATAATTATGAAAGCTCTTTTGAGAAGAGTACTGATATTTCTCCGTGATACAACGTTCGTTTCAATTTGCCATCCACAAATTGAACATCTCGATTCAGTTCCGAACACATTTTGATCATGTTAGAAACTAATGGGAAGCATGCACAGAGATCTGCGCCGGCGAAAAGCCGATCTCCGATGGATATCTTTTTTAATAAATGAAAAATCAACAGAAACAAAATTGGCTTGATCGGCGATAAAAAAATATTGTGAGATTTTGCGCCACCGCAGGTATTCTTTATCGGCGCAGACCTGTAAGCATGCAGATTGATCTACAAATGTAAACATTTCGACCAGTCGTTTTTGACGCAGAACGCAGCTGAAAGTTCAATCCAAACAACTCAAAACAAGAGTTTTACAACATCATTTCACACAGTACTGTGGATAACTTTCATTTCTAGAGATAATTATTCCTTCTATCACAGATCTCTGATACCGGTTGGAAAGAAGAAATCCAACTGTACCAGAAACAATGAAAATATCGCTCAAAACAAGCTAACTAAAGAAGGATGTTGAATCAAACAGTCTCTCCTGCAAAGTCAGCATTAGACACATTTTTATCAGCAGTCAAAAACGATCCCTTTCACATCAAGACACTATTATACCGACAGATGCAGTTTATAGCCATTATTCTCACAATAGAAAAGAAATTTCGTTTGTATTGGTGATGCGTCTTGCTCGCTGTCAGCTCGTTTGATATTCATCCTTTTCTTGTTGTTATCAGTACAGTTCGATCTCCTTTTTTTAGCCATTATTCTTTTATTTGAAATAAGATCGAGTGTTGCCACTGGAGCGTACGATTTTAAATTTTTGAGGGAAAATTAGGCTCTTTTGCTAGAGAAATTGTTTGGTTCGAATGTTTTTGATACCTTTTCAATAAATATAATCATAATGATTTCTGTCTCCTGAACTTTTTTCCTCGAAAAAGGATAGACTTCAAAGATTCACATGTATGGGTGACTCATAGACATGGCCATCCCAACTAATGTAAATATTTTTGTTGAAATAGAATAAATACTTTTTCTCGAAAATTAGGGTCGGATAGTTGTTGTGCCAGGACGAACCGAACCGGAAAGGTTTTGAATCGAATCGAAACCGAGAATCTTTATCAGAACACAAAGGGGTGAAAATATGCTACAGATGCACAGAGATCTGCTACCAATTAGATAACATCGTTTCATACTGACATAGAGATTTATTTTTGATCAGCAATAACCTAATTGTGATGTAAGTTCAAGATAAATCTGTTTGTGGAGAATACAAACAGTAGAGACAGCAAAATGTATCCATTCATTTTATATCAATCACACTTCAGGACTTCTTTGTATTTTTGATACGAATGTTTGAATACAATGATGAAAATACGACAGATACGGTGAAAATTATGGGTCAATGGCTTCAACAGTCACAAAAAATTTTTGAATTTTTACAAATTTTACGAAACAAACGTCGTTCAAACCGAACCGATTCCATCTCTGATACGCACGCAGTTTTGACCTCTGTTCAATTCTTTAACTGAGTACCAACGCTTTTTTATCTCTCTGGAAATAAGATTTGTCTTTTTCGTGTTGGAAATAACTATTGTCTTCTCTCCCGGTATTACTCACTTCAACACAAAATCTCTATTTGTTGTTGCTGAAACAAAAACTAATCAATCAAAATTTGCTAAAAAATTTTTTTACATCGAGTGAGTAATGGTGAATAGTAAGAAAAATTGAAAAGAGAAATGCCTCTAAATCATAGTGACTCAACAATTTATTAATAAGAGAATTGCACGAAAGATCTGCATAACTCGACAGGAGCGAATATATACAAAACTTAACTTCAGAACAGATGGTATCACTCTCTTGCAGTTACCTTAATTTTAACAAGAGACTATCGGCTTTTGAACTCTGAACACTTTCAAATGCATTTATTCTCACGATTTTATAGTTCTTGTAACCAATATTTACAGAATCTCGTAATAGAAGTTTTAGTAAAGTTCGATCGATTTTAAATTAGGTTTATTTGAGTGCCTCATAACATGCACAAAGTACAATTGCTAAATCAAGAATACTAGAGTATTCACGTATACAAACAAAACGAAGAGCATTTAAAGAAAAAAGAAATACATTCAATTATTTTTAACACAAAAAAAAAAATAGAGCAGTATTTTATAACAATAAAGAGGCTTTTTTCTTACACAAATAGACTAGAAATACTGGTTGGACGAACAAAAAAAAAAAATGTCATGAACTAATTCTAGCAATAAAGAATGAGTGCAAGAAGAAAAGTCTTCTAACGAACAGTGTTTAATGAGAAAAGACTCCTGAGTTAAGATGTTTCAACAATAGATATTTACACTTGTGATTCATAATCAGCATCCGATACATTTGGCATCTCTGGTAAACGAGATACCCAAATTTCTGCTCGATTGAACGGTGATGCGTGTATCGTTGTGCGTGAAATTGTTGTTACAACTGGAGGCGAAAGAGGTAGTGACAAAATCAATGGTGTTAATGAGATTTTGTTTTGTGATGACATAGGAGATGATGAATGATCCGAAGCAAATAATGATGCTATTATCTCTGCATCACCGGTAGTAGAGGATACTCGTGAGTCTTCAAGATGTGAAGAGTCAGTTATTTGTTGTTGTTGTTGTTGTTCGAGTAATGGGGTAAAATGATCCGTTATTCTGCTGGATAATACTTGAACGTCTTTGCTAAATAAATAAACACAAAGAAATGAAATTTAAAAAATAAAATAAGTTTGAACTTTTTAGAGTAAATGACAATAACAGATATATATGATCGTTAATTGAACAATGTTTTTCAAATTACATGCACATGCACCAAAAAAAATCAATTTTTTTTTAGATGTACTGATTTTGAGCATGCTGTTGAAAACAATACAATACTACTGCCATTTATCTGACATAAAAATTCTAGAATTTAGGATATTTAAGTGGAAAATGTAATTTGTAACGCGTATTCAGTCAGTTCAAAGTAAATAAAACAATGTTAGTTTTTTATACGCAGACGAACTGATAATAGTACGATCTATCTGATGGGGAAAGATGAATTCATTTTTTTGTCTAAAAGGGTTGCATGCACATGCACCAAATAAAATATCATGCGCTTTAAAAAAAAGCATTCTAACCTCTTCTTCTTTCTGCTGTTAACTAAAGAGACAATAAACAAATTATTTTTTCTTTTACACTTTTATCTAAATCGAAAGAATTACCTTGTTGGATGAAACATTTCATTCATTTCTTTCGTTGCATCATAAGTCATTGTTGGCACACTTTCAGATAACTGCCAAAGAAAATAAATTTAGTTAAATTATTTAGAATATTTAAGTATTCTATACTTACATTTACTACTTTCATGGGACCTTTAGTCAATCGTTGAGCTGTATCACGTTTTAATCCACGAAATGTTCGCATTTTAGGTTCAGTTGTTTGTTGTACACTTTTTTCATGATAATTTCTCTTATCTATGGCTAAACTTCGATCACCAGAGACTGTTATGGATCGAGACAAGTATGGCACGTGTGACTGATTTTGTACGCTTTGAATTTCTAATAAATTAAAAGATATAGTATTAAAATAGATATTTTTGTTTTATTTACCTTGTGTTATAGTATCATCATCATCATCGGTAGATCCAGATATTCGTTTTAATGTTAAATTGGTTGTTGATATAATGGGTATATCAGCTACTTCCACTGAAGAAGGAAAAACAAAACAATAGCATTTGAAAAATACTATGTTAATCTAGTAAAAGTTGAATACCTCCAGAACGTATACGATAACGACTACGATAAACATCTAGAATATCTAATGCTTCTTTAATGCGTATTTTTTCTGTTTTTTTTCGTGGAGATGAATTTAAACTACTATCACTTGATTGTTGACGACGTATACGCCAAGCATTTGCTCTTGAACCACCGCCACCATCACGATCTTTCATTTCAATTGCTTCAGTATCAAAACGAACTTTTTCAGTTGTTTTTGCATCATAATGGAATGATGTTTTAGATTCGTCTAGAAATAATAAAAATAATTTAATGAAACATCTAGATTTTCTTTAAAGTCTTATATAACAGCAAATATCATGCAATGAAAATTTTTAATTTCACTGCAAAAAATGATGAGAAATTCATTCAAGAGATTAAACACTTTGTACATGCTTTCTTCATTCACCATGCAGAAAACTATGCATGAATGTTATAACGAACCTAATACAGAAGATAAACGATCTATTTCGACTGGTCGTACAAATAAATCATCTCGTTTTCTACGACGAGGAGCTCGAGGCAAAATGACTCTCTTTTTACCACGTACATTTTGTCGACTCAATTCTCTGGTATATTCAAATGAGATACCTATCGAATATTTATTATTCATAGTTCATGTATAATAGAACAGATGATTCATTTTACCTGTTAATTCAGCTTTTAATTGATTTAATTCTGACATTAAACCATTTAGAATTTCACCCGTACATTTTGGCTGTGTTAGTTTATCAAATATTAATTTTTGTTGAATTTGACTAATTAATTCATAATCTCGATCATTTTCACATGTAATTGTGGACGTCTATCCAAACAAAATGTAATAAAGAAAATTTTTTCATTAATAAACTAGTTACTTACATAATGGAAGAGATAGGGTCTTAGCAAAACAAATATTGGCGTTTTATAAGAGACAATAAAATCAATAAATGAGAGTAATGTCGACGATATATTGGCTTGTTTTGCGCACATTAATTTTATTGCTTGTGCTATACGTTGCCATTCTTTCTTCATGTATTTTGTAAAACTAATAATTAAAACTTTTAGTCCTTAATAAAAAAAAAAATACATCATTTTTATCGGTATTATTCATAACTTGAAAAAAAAGATGTTTACCTAGTAATGATGCTGTTTGATGAAGATCTTTTAGCTGTCTCATTGATTTATGCGTAAATGAATTACTCATTAATGCTTCACCAATGGTTAAATGTTGTTTTTGTCCACTTGATCCTCCGCCAGCTCCTGATCCAACAGCTCCCGTTCCCATGGCCGATGCTAATTTTGATGTTGGTTTTAATGAATTAATTAATATTGTTATCACATAGGATAAATCAATGGGATGTATTTTTGGTGCATCTTTTCTTCCACTACCCGCCCAAAACATTAATGGAAGAAGAAAATGTAATAAATGATTAATTGCTGATGGTGCATTAGGAAATGACCAACCACCACCAGACAATGCTTCAAGATTAGGTTGATTCTAAAAGAATAAATTTTTTATACTGTATATAATGTATTTTTTCTAGATAATAATTACTACCTACTTTAATAGCAAGTAGATATCGTCCAACTAATTTGATAACAGCTCTTGAAAATGCTTTGGGAAATGCTAGTGTATCAAAACGTGGCACCGAATGACTTGAATCAGTTATATTTTCATTTAATACTAACGCTATACACTCTGAAACTAACATCTAAACAAAAAAAAGACGTTAAATAAGTAATCTCTACTACAAGTAAGATGTTATATTGATTACCTTCAAATATGGAAAATGTGCAATATATGGATGTCGATCTAATGTAAGATAAATTCCATTTAAAATACCCGCTGTTGCTTCCCAATCAAAACAACGCTACAGAAAAGAGAAATGAATAATGTTTGTTAGTTTTTCAATATATTTTATAATTTTATAGTCTACCTTTGACATTGGTTTTTTAGATATTTTTGAAAACATTCTATCCATTCGTCTTAATAGATTATTTAATGCTGGTCGCAATGTTTCTTGACTCCAATTTGTACATGGTAATAATTTTTGAAAATAATTTTGTAAACCACGACAAGACATTGTTATTGAATCATAACCACCTAATTTCAGAAGTGTATGAGCAATATCGGCTAAACGTGTATGACATTTAGCATCTAATAATTCTGGTACACGTAATTGAGGATCATTAACAAGTTTTATCAATTTTTTTAAACGTTTTGTTGAAAAATGGACAAATGTTGATATAACAGATAATAATGTATCACGTGGCCATCTAAAAATAAAATACAACTTAAACACAAAATATCTCATCATATACTTTCGAACTTACCGATATTCACTTGCTTGTTTATGTTCATCAGCATCTTGCACTTTATTTTTACGATCATCAATAAAACGACTAAATAAAAACTTAACATTAAATTAAAAAAAGATTATTTTAAATGTTATTACCTCATTGAATCTTCGTCTGGAACAATTGATGGTGATCGATTTGATCCTCTTGAATATTTATAACTTGTTCCACTTAATGTTTCATGTTTTGGTCCAGCAAATGTTCGTGTTAATGTATCTGATGCAGTTATCATTGTTTTAATAGAAATTGATAATTTTTCAATTATTTTTATTTCTTCACGTGCTTGTTCTAACAAATCATTTGTTGTTGTTCGATGATTTAAATATTCTAAATAACGAGGTAGTAGCAAATCAATAATACCTAACATTTGTAATGATCGAATTGAATCAGGTGCATAAGCCACTATAAATAAACAAAATAAATTTTAAAAAAAATAGTATAAATTATATGATACATACCAACAGTAATACAAACATCAAAACAATTTAATAAAGTAAAAACTGAATCATCTTCAGCATAACAAAAGTCCAAAGTTTTAATTCCTGTTACAGCAGCAGAACCCAATGTATTACTACTTAATGTTTGTATACCATTTGTAATAGCTGTTGTATGTTTATCATCTTTGACTAATTCTAATATTGAATAATCATCTTTCAATGCATCATTATGATTATATTCTAATGCAACTAGTAAACGAAATAATGCCATTGGTTGTATTTTATTTGTATCAGTTATATCGGCTTGTTCATCAAAATCAAGTAACTGAGAAACACTACCTAACATTTGTAATATGAATGGTACTCGATGTAAAATATAAAATTGTCTACAACAATATTCAATAGCTTTTTTTAACATCGGATTACTTTGAATATTTGAATAGACTCGTAAAAATGTTGGCATTATCAATAGATATCCATTTGTAGCAAATATATGTTTGTAATGACGAGCTGTACTAATATATGTTGCTAGACAATATCTTAACATGGCAAAATCTTCACAGTGTAATATAAACGCACCATTAATAACATTTAAAAATAGTGTAATATCCCATGTAGTTGATGTTTTACCATCCATATTGAAAAACATACAAGAAATAAGTTTAATCCAATTATATTTATGTAACATATCCAAATTAAATAATTCTTTATCGGGCATTTTCATGTACAAATTATAATCAGATTCCAATGGTTTTCGTGGAAAAAATGGACATTTCATTAGTTCATCATGAAAAAACGTTACAGAATTATGTATCTGGGTATATTGTGTATTTTCTAACAGATGACCTAAAAGAAAATGAATGTTAAAGTATTTTTGTTAACAAAAGAGTCAGATACATACGTGCAAATAATACTTTGGATAATTCTGTTGTTTTTAAAAAGAGTGACATATGTTCAAGTTGTTTTTGTGCTTGTTTATGTTCCATATACACCAATGATAATTGTGGATAGACATTACGTCGAAAAAAGTAAAAATCTCGTACATATGTATCGGGAATATGTATTTGTGTTGTTTTTACATCAACTAAATAATAACGGTCACGTTTTGATTCTGGAATACCAAAAAAATCCAATGCTTCTTGTAAAACAGCACTAAATTGAGTATCTTCTTGAATAATTGCTTGAGTGGGAATTTGTGATAGATCTGGACCGTGTATAATGACTTTTTTCGTTGATGGTATATTTCCGGTAATCAATATCATTTGTTCAGCTTGTTCTTTACGCAATATTTGTTTTAAATCTTTCAATACAAGACCATGTAGATAAGGAATAATTTGCCATAATAATGTTAAAGCAGCGGCAATTAATTCTTGACTACCATCTAATGGTGAACGAACCATACTCATCAATAGACCAAGAACATAATTGAATACAGCATGGGCAAATTGTGGAGGAATATCAGCTAAACATATCATTAGACGACGCAATATTTGTAACGATTTTGACTAAAATATTAAAAAAAAATTTAGCTAATGATGATGAACACACACACACACACACACACACAAGACTACTTACACGACGCTCTTTATGTGATAATTTTTCGAAAAAGAAACGTATTAACAATGATGGTTCATCCAACAAACATGTCCACAATACTTTTCGCGCAGCTTCGGACACTAAAAAGAAAACGAATTTATAGTTATATGACTGCTCCAAACACAGACAATAGTTACCCGTTGCACCGTTTTCTACAATTTCTTCATCTTCCAACATCTCCACGAGAAGAAACACGGCAACACCGAATGATGATGGAAACGCACCTTGTGCTTGACGAATTTGAACACTTTCAACAAACCGATCGTCATCATTATGAGCTTCTTCATCTTCGTCTCGTTGTTGATATAAAAGGGGTTCAAATGATGCCGATTGTAATATGGGTACATTAGTCATAGCAAAATTTTCTCTTGCCACACGTTTACTTGTCTCTTCTGCTAATAATGCTGTATGTAATAATTCTTGTTGATGTTTCTTTCGTGTTTTGCTTGCTGTAACGACCGCTCGCACTTCTTCTTGATTCAATGCTACTTGTTCAACTCGAGTTTTAGCATGTGGTAGCCATGGTGGATCAACTGCATGTAAATTTGAAATACCCAATGCTGGTGATGGTAAAACAAATTCGATACTTGGTGGTAAAATCTAAAAGAACAATAAATTATCGATAGATAATGAGATAATTATTAACCATGTATATACCTTCATCATTGAATGAGCACCTTCTTCTAAACGAATCCAAAATTGATAACGAAAACGCCATAATGTTTGAAATTTTAATATAGCATTATATCGAGTAGTACCAGACACATTTTCCATTTCGTTATGAAACAATTTATCAACTAAATGACCGGCACGTGCTGCTGTCAGTATTACAATAGTAGCTGAAAACAAAGACATATGAATAATAACAATAAAGAACACTTTTCAAACATTATTTACCAGCACATGCTGCTAATTCTTCATCTTTATCTAGCAACAGTTCCCACGAGAAAGTTAACACTTGTGCATAATGTTCATCTTCCAGTAATACGGATGATTTGCATAAAATCATCAATGGTACTTGAAATAGCGTGCCAACCTAAAATAATATACTGTCATTTAACTGAAAACAAGATATTTTGCTCGTTTTTTTCTATACTTGTTTTTCTAAATATGATGCAATTCCTGTAAAATGTGTATTAATTTGTTGTTCAAAACATGGATCAGCTGTTTCAAATACATTTTTAAATGTCATTTCAAAGTTTGTTTTAACTCCATGTGTATTATGACCCGATATTGTTGTTGTTGTTGCTGTATGATAGTCAATACCTTCTCCAAATAAACACGTTGATAACTATAAAATCAGAAATAATAATAGTAGACTCAAGATCAATAATTAATTCTATACTAATTACTCTTCGTTTTTTTATTTCATTTCGCGTATTGTCTCGTTTTAATATATGTTCTTTTGAACGATGTGTTGCTGATGATGAACGTGAAAATGATGAAGTCATTGTTTGAACAGTAGATGATTGACGGTAAGTATTTAATAAAGCTTGTATTAAATTTTTACAACTTGCCGTCTGTTTTTCATAACAGTTTTTCGAACATTTCATGTGATCACAACCAAAATGAACATCATTTAATACACGAATAACAACCTAAAAAAAGAATATTTATGAATTGATTGTACATTTAGAAATAAAATAGTTACTTTGATCCATGGGAATGGTTTAGTATTTATCATATCATCAAAATTAGCATTATCAAATTCTTCATCAACATTATAAACATCGGATGGTTCTATTTGACTACCTATGCCACTTTGATGATCGGTTTCAGACGACATATTCGATGCATGACTACGACGTCGAAAACGATAAGATGGACGACGTATACCTTTAAATGATAAGAAAGAAAAAAAATATTCAAAGTATAACAGACTTAATTTAGCTTAGATTTACTTTTGCTATCTTTCATACGTAATGATGGTCGACGTAATTTAACACTACTTCGTCGAATTAATTTTGATTTTCCACCACCTTGTTTTGGAGCAATTGACACTGAACACGTAGAAGAATGACGTAGTTATAAGCGAATAAATTTCTTTTCATTTAGTTTAGTTTTACAATCGCTTATCCGTCACTAGAAATTCAAACAGACCTCATTTCTGGAAGAATCCTAAAAAGATATTATGACCAGTGTCTCTAGTAACTGATAGGCGATTGTAAAACGCAACTAAATGAAAATTGTATCAAGTTTAGTTTCACATTTCGAATAAATAGTTGTAATAGATCGACAACTTACTTCTTCTATCATTCATAGAACTACTGGCATTTCCATCCACGATAACGACATCATCTTCTGGCATGTTTATTGCTGTATGATTACTTTCACTTGAATCATTTTCTTTACTAACAGCAAAACTTATGTGTCGTTCGCCAGTAGAAGAAACATTTGGTAGTGGACCGATGTTGATAATAGTTGCCGTTGTGGCACTTGGAACGGGCATGGTTGATGGAGCAGATGACATTTGTGGTGAAACTAGAAGCAAGAAGTTATTTAAAAATTGATCATAATATTTAATAGACATACGAGCAGGATGTTCTGATGATATGGATGGTGAACTTCGATTTGAATCATGTGATGCAACACTGCCTATTCTCGTACGAGATGAACGTTTTTCATTCAAATTATAATTTTCTGTGTTCGTTCCACCGGTACTTGTTGTACCACCAACAGGACGTTTTTGAGATAATGATGAGAGTTTTGGTAATGAATCATAGGATTCACGTAGAAAAGATGTAATTTCCAGTAAAAGTAAACATGCCATCATACGTAATGAATATGAACATGAACGACCAGAACGATTAACAATGGCTAATCAAATAAAACAAATAAAAATTGATTAAAGAACTGAAGAAATAAAGAATACGACACACACACAAACACACAACATGCAAAGCACAATACGACAAAATATACAAGTCAAATGACTTGAATAAATTTCATGACATAAGCACGATCAATAACAACCATTGAATCACATGCTTATTCTACCTTCATTATAGTAGTCATCAGGTGTTTCATCGTAATTCCAAAAGCTTTGTAGATCATTTTGTTGTTGTTGATAATAATTTGATAATATTTCATTATCACCCGTGTTTACCGAACGATTAACCGACCCATTATTTTCATTATCAAGAATACATTCTAATTGTGCTGATAGAGCCTTTAGCAAAAAAAGTGTACACTCATTTTTTTTTAATTTTCTTCTAGCGTATGGTTTGAGATTACGAATTTTTTTAGCAAATACTTATTTTAAAAAATAAGAGCATCTGGATATTAGTATTCATCTTATCTCAAGCAAACACCATCTATTGGAAAAATCTAAATACATTTTTCGTTTGTAATCGGGCGATACACGCCTAGTTGTCATCTAGTTTGAAAAGGGACTTTTAACTAGATGTGTCTGCATGTGTAACTAGCAATAGTTAAATCGATCGATTACGGGCGATAAATCGATAATTGCAACTAGAAGAAATCTAGCAATCGCTCGATTACTAGATTTCCACTGTCGTTACTCAATAGTTGCAATCGAGTAAAAATCTAGTAATCTAGATGAATCGGACGATACAAGATGTTATTTTGATGTTTTGGATTTCTCAATTTCACAGAATAGATTTTAAATATTAAATTTAGTCTTACTTCTCCCCAAACATAAAACATTCTTGCTGCTGCTGCTTGATATAATTTGTTCATTTTTGAATTCATATTTCCATTTCTAACCGGAAATGAATCATGTGGTCGAAATGTTGTTAAATTAATTTTCATCCATTCTGGCCATTGACCAATCGAACAACGTCGAACAAAATAGGCACATTCAAGTAAATAAGATGCTTTAGCTATCACTGGTGCCTCCTAGTATGATAAAATAAAATATAGAAGAAAATAACTTGTTATAATATTTTAATTTACTTACCAGTGTTAATAAACTATTTATAAATTGTGGATCGGGTACAGAACCAGGCGGACAACTTTCCATCATAAAATTGAGACGTAACAATCCGAAACGTATCAATGTCAAATCAACATATAAAGTTTCTTCAGGATGTGTGTATAATGTACGTTCATCACTGGATGATGCACGAGGTCGACCTAAAATATTATTTCTTTTTATATAAAATATTAACATTGAATATATTAATTTTTAATTAACCTTTAAATTTGATACTTGAAGATGGTGCTATTCCAACTCCTCCAGCAAGAACACTATTTTCATCAGTCGATGGGTGTATCTGTGCACTACTGTTCGCACGTGTTTTAATTGAATCAATATTTTTATCAATATCAACATCATCAGATAAATCACGACTGAAACGAGACTAAAACAAAAAACAGAAGAAAATGTTTAAAACTATTGAATAAATTTTTTTTAGTTTTTCATTTACTTTTCCACCACTGGCCTCTTGTTTATTCAATATTGGATGTCGAACATTTGTTGATGATCTATTTGCTTGTTGTTGTTTTGTTAATAATTCTGCTTCTTGTTTTATTTTTTTAGCTGAATCCAATAATGATGAAAATGCCACAAGTCGAAATATTCCACCATGATTTTCTTTTACACATGTTAAAAATGCTCGACATTCACTATACAAACCAACATTTTCTGAACTCATTAAATATTCTTTCATTACTACGAGACGTGTAACAAATGGTTTAAAAATAACACCCAATATAAAACCTTCAACACCTTTTGGACCATAACCCAAATGAGTATTACCAAAATTATTTGAATATGTTTGACGAGCATATAAATCATTTTTAATTGGAACTAAACAATAAATACATATGAATTAAAATGTTTCATGGGAAAATAATGAAAAGAGAACGTTGAAAAGAATATTTCTTTATATTTTTGACGAACACAATGTTTTTCAAGTTAAACACATGAAAGACTAACGTGTAATAAGAAGTTAACCATCTATGTTAATATCCGTATGTACAAACAGCAAAATTAACTTTTGATTTTATAGAACAACAATATAATATTTATTTACATAATACTGAACGTATCTGTCTAGGCCTAAACTGTTCTAATTTCGATAGATTGTGTATAATATAATAGTCATAATCGATCATCATACCAAGTACTTGTTTACATACGTATATTTTCAAATTTATTTTGCATGAACATATCGATATTAACTTTCTTTTTTATTTTATTTGTTACGAACAAAATTGAGAAACACATTTTTCTTTAACATATTCGATCAATGAATTTGTATTTGGGAAATACAAAATACCATACTCTTCTTGTCATTTTTTTTCAAAATGAAGTGTACATGTTACAGAAGAATGGATACAGTTAACTACATATTTACAGAGATTGTATAAAGTTTGTTTAGTACATTCTACTGTAATGCCTAGTTTTTCTATTCAATCTACAAGTATTAATCTATTATGAGTCTTTCATGTGTTCTCTATTCAATCTAAGAAATGTTCCCTTTTAAATTCTTATCAATGATATAAATAATTCGATATTGCTTACTGTATGGTGCGTAGTGAGCAAGACCAACTGATGAATCGGAACAATAACCACATAAGGCATGAAAAATATCGAGTATATGAACAAGATCTCCATGTAATGTTAAATCGAGAAAATATCTACAAGAAGAAAACAAATAGGGATTATAATTGAATAATGAAAATTCTAATAACAAAATTTATTTTTACTTTTCAAAACGTCGTTGATTCAATGTTCGTAATTTATTTAATGATAAACGAACTTTACCACGTAATTGATCTGATGTAAAATTTCTTGCACGTGGTTGACAATGAGGACATCCAAGACGTTTAATTATGCTAAAACAAATAATAGATGAATTTCATAAAATTCATTTCTTGTATAATTTTAAAATGACATACCGTAATGTAATATCAACACCCAATTGAAATTTATCATCTTCTTTTGCATCCATTGCTTTCATCCATTCTTCTGTTCGATCTCCTCCTCCTTTGTCTTGACCTGATTGTTGTTGTTGTTGATAATTTGTATCGTCACCACTATTTGTAGTCGTTGTTTTTGCTTTTCCAATTAAAAGTTCTCGTTTGTGTATATCATCATCGGATGATGCAATTACAGCTAATCCCAGTAGAACATCTAATATATTCATAACTAATTCACATACTTTTAAATGATGTTCTTTACAAATGACTGCGTGTATTCCCGCTAATAGAACACCAAAATTAATTGTACCATCTCGATTAATATATGCACTTGAACCTTGTGCTTCTTCAATTTCTTCAAGAAATTTATAATTAATATCTGTATCACTTACACTTAATTGTTTATCCATTTTGTGTTTATTATCATTTGTTACTGATGGAATTATTATTGGAAGTGTAATATTTGACACTGTTTGTAATGATATTTCACTTTGATTATGAGTAGATTTAATTGTTGATGGACGCTCTTTTGAATCTACTATAGGTATAGATTTTACATATTTTTCATTTACTAATAATCGTCTTGAATGTTGTGGATGAATAGCACCGTCTTTTTCACTACGTTTGTCATGATCAAAATGTTCTGCACCTTCTTCATCAATATAACGAATTTTACTATAGAAAAAAAAAGAATATACATACATTATTAAAGATATGTACACATTGAAATTTGACAAAAAAGCAAAACAACGGTTATTAATAAATCAGGACATGCATTTCTTATATTAATTTTTTTTTTCTCATTGGAATACATTTAAACAACACATTCCAAATAAATGTTTGTTTCTTCTCGTTCAACACTTTATATTTGATAAAGTTATTTGAAAGAGAAGACAGATAATAACATAGAAAATTAAAAAAACGAAAGTTGATTGTCATATCGTTACCCTTTTGTTAGTAGAAGTTGTTTTTGTCTTGAAAAAGAAATAATAAATGTAGACATAAAAATTTTAAAATAGACACTCTTAAAGTAATTCTGAAATCAATAACTCATATCATATGAGAAGATAAATATTGTTATATTTCTTTATTTTATTACCAAATGAAATACTATGCTTACCTTATTTTCTTATAAAAATTATCATATTTTTGATTATGTTTATATTTTCCAAAATTTTTGAATGGTACATTTAATAATGTTTGAGGATGTTTTGATGTTGACATTGTTGTATTTGGAATAGTTGTCATCATACATTGTTGTTCAACAATATCATTTGTGATTTGTTCATTAAAATATTGACTTTTCATATAATCATAATACTCTTGTTCATCTTTAATATTAATTTGTGGTATTGATAAACTTTTAATACGTAAAAGAGACAATGTTGTATCGGATAATAATTCATCACTTATATCGATAATACGTTTGTGTAAATATTCTAAACACCATAGATAACCATCTGTTAACCATGATGGACTAAATAGTGTACGTAATATACCAATATCAAAATAACTAGCTAATAATATCATATCTGATGAATAATGAGCTTTTTTCTTTGTAGTTGTTATCAATGATTCTTTTCTCATCGATGATTTTTGTATATCATTCATTGGCTTTGATTTTTGAGTTGATAAAGATGGATTAGACGAAGTAGGAGGACCAGAAATAGTGAATGGAAGTTGTTGTTGTTGTGCTATACAACTTAAACAGAGAGTAGATGAATCTTTTTCATTCGTTATTGTGGTCAATGGTTGGTGACATTGAGCGCATACAAATGACGATCTTGTAATCGAGGAAGTGGATGTTGGAGATGGTAATGGCAATAGATTAAATTTATCAGTACCTAAAAACAAATAAATCGATCTTAATCCAAAATGATCATCAATCGTAAAAACAAAGATACAATCCGGAGACTATTGATGTTCGATTGAATACAAAAATACACTTGTAAACAAATTTGTTTTGAAGATTGAATTACCTGGACTTTGAGGTGATACTGTTGGCCTACTCGAATCTGATATTGAACAAATGGAACTCATATGAGCTAATGGTGCACGATAATAGGATGACTGTTGTTGAACATAATTTAAATTATTAATTGAACTATTTGTTGTTGTTGTATCTGAATCTATCATACCCGATGATGCTGAATTTTTATTTGCTATTTGTTGCTGAAATATGGTTGCTACTGGTAATTGTTGATATAAACTTGTACTACTACCATCAGTACTTACGATCAATGGTGGTGGAAGAGGGGGAATAGTTGGATAGTTTGTTAAATCCATTAGCGGTTTTTGTTGGGAATCACATTTAATGGTTAATGGAGTCATGGAAAATGAACGTGTAGACGGCATTCGATGTCCTTTTTCATAGTCACTATCGTTTTCATCCTCTTCTTGTTCTTCCTCAATAACATTTGTTGTCGGTATTGGTGTAGGTGATTCGACAAAAACAGATAAACGATTTTTTCCATTATTATTAATAAAACTTGTGGTATTATTTGAATGTCCCTTATCATAACTAATAAATGAATTGCGAGTATAATCTACATATTTCGTTGCAGGTTTAACGTATGCTTTAAACATTCGAACATCTGGTTGACGATATTCAAGAAGTGGTTGCCATAGAAATTTCATACCATCAGATAAATCAGGATTTTGTAAGAATTCTTTTTCATTACATTGTATATAGGTGTGAACATAGGGTATAAATAAATAAATAAACAACTGAATTGTACTTAATGGTAATAAATAATTTTTATTATCGTCTTCAGAATGTTCAGGAGTTTTACATACATTGAATGCGTCTAATATCATCCAATGTAAAATATGTAAAAGACGAATTTCTGTTTTACCTAAACGATGGCTATTTTGATTGTTCAATATAGATGGTGATGGTGTGGAAGATAAACGACATAATGGCGATGGTTGAGATTGAGATGGTGCACGAGGTATCATTGACATTTCAATTGATGAAGATGTAGGAGATGGTGGAGAAAATGGAATAGTCGACGGAGCAGATGTCATTTGAGTTGTTTGAATTTGAAGTGGTACTTGAAGTTGACTTAATGATGAAGGTGAAACAGATAAAGAGGAAGATAATAGTGATTTTTGTTGTTGTTGAGTATGAAGACTATGTTCAATAGATGCAGCACATGCATGCATTAGATGTGGAAATGCTGCTTTAATCAAGAGCCATCGTGGAATACTTGTGATGGCATCCGATAAACTTGGTGATAAACCATGAAGAATATTTTGAACTAATACACGTTCAAAACTCTAAAATATATAACAATAACATTATAAAAAACATTGTTCAATAAACTCTTATCAGTTTCTAGTGTCAATTTTTTACTTACAATAGCCGATGCATCTGTTAAGTTACCGAACTTCTGTTTAATAAATGGACTAAAAATAAACAAAATTTAAGAATAGTGAGTTAATAGAGTATTCATTAGTAGATACATACTTGCTTTGTCTCCATAAAAATGTTTGCACAGATATGGGTATAGCGTCATCATTATTAGACGATGACTTATCAGCATTTCGTTGATTAGTCAATGTACTATTAATCGTCTGACGTTTTGACATAAAAAAAAGATTTAATTATAAAATATAAAATTCACAATAGACTATTGATAAAGAATAAATAGTTTAAACTAACTATACTCTAATCTAAAATCAAAAAATTATAGAATATTTTTTCCTTCTTTTTCCTTCAAATTTATAGTTAAAATAATTTAAAATATGGAAACAAAATTTATATTTTTTTTTTCAGAAAACTTTTAGAAAATAAATAATTTATATGTTTATTGCTACGATTGATTCGACTAATAACAATTTGATGATAAGTTTATTCAAGAGTATTAAGACGTTTCATAAGTATGTCAGCAAGATAATTTCAATTAGTATTCATTTTAGTATGAGAAGTTTATAATTCAATTTTATAGAGAATTATAAATAGAAGAGTAAAGTTTACATAACATTAATAAACATGTGTTTCTCTGATAATAAAAATGGTAAAAATCTAATCCATTTTATTTTTTAGTTTCATAGAAACATAGTAGAAAAGAAAAAGCACAAAAAAGAGTTTATTTTTTATTTATTTATTTTTTTTGATGTAACAATATCTACAATGGTTAATCTTCATTCATTTCAACCTCTTCACTTGGCAATGGACTTTTATCTGCTTCTTCTGTTGTCGACAATATTTGTGATTGTTGTTGTTGTACAATATTCGCATTTGTTTCTTTCCATTTTTGAGCCATAGCCAATAATTTCAAATGTGGACGAGAAGCTTCATCATCAGGAAATACTAATTGTATAATTTCTTCATATGTATTTGTATCAATCTATAATGAGAATTTAAATATAATAGATAGTATTTTGAAAGTAATAAAAAAATAAATAAAAAAAGTACATACTCCTTCATCTGAAATAATTTTTCGACGTTGTTTAATACGTTTTGGTAAATATTGTTCAACATATGCCACATCTTCGGATGTACCTTTTTCTCGCTATAAACAAAAGAGAAAAAAAAAATATTTCATCTAATCAAGAGAAGGAAAATGTGACAATATTTTCATACCTCAAATTCTCTCCATTTTTCAACAAGCATTAAACGTTCTTCTTTATCATTTGCTGTTCTTAATGTTTTATAAGCACGTTCAAATACATTTCGAGAACGTTCTAATACATTTGGTTCATCAATTGATGATTCAAATTGAGCTAAACTTAACCATACCTAAAATCCAAAAGAAATTTTAGACCAAAAATAAAGGTCATATTATATTTGACTTACTTTAACATGTTGTGTTTTTTCTAATAATTTATTATATAATTTTCGTGCTCGATCATATTCTTGTTGTTCAATTTCAAAATCAATATAAGCTTTCCATAATAATTCGGGCATATCTAAACGTTGTTGTTCAATGGCTAATTCATAAATTGCACGTGAACGATCAATATCACCGAGAATACTTTCTAATTCAGCAAACTAAAAAATAATATTTTATTAAATATCATAAAATATTAGTAAAACTAAAAATATCATTTTACTTTTATCCATGTCGTACAATTATCTGGTCCAAATTCTAAAAATTTTTGATATAATATACGACATCGTTCAAATTCTCGTAATTGTATTTCAATATCAATATATCCTCGAAATAATTTATCTTTTGGACATAAACCAATTGCTGTACCCTTTTTTTTTGAAAAGAAAGAAGAACAAAATAATAATATTCATTATATTCGTACACCATAGTCCATTTATACATACCAATATTTTTCTAACTGATTGTAATTGTTTTTGTCGAATTTCAAATTGTGCATAGTATAACCATATTTTAGCAAATGTAAACTTTTTATGTGGTAATAAATTTAAACATGCTTTATAAACTTCTCGTGTACGATCAAAATCATTTGCTTCTAATTCTTCAAATAGAGCATAATTAATCCATAGATAGATATAACGACGCCAATAACGTTTTTCCTTAATAAAAAATAAAACAATATAAAAATGAGACATAACATTTAAATATTCTCTTTCTTTAGTAATTTAAACATACTTGCAATGGTGGTACTTGAGAAATAGCTTTTTCATATGTATCACGTATCAAATTAAAATCACCTTCACTTTCTAATAAACGTAAATAATCAAACCATGTATCATAATCCATGGGATTTTCTTTCAATTCCTATAAATAATGGAGAAGAAAATAAAAAATAGATCAAATAAAATAACAATAATATTTTAAACATACTTCATCGTATTGAAATTTTCGTTTACTAGTAATTACATCTTCGATTCCTGTTCTATCACCATATTTTTTTTCATGTATTGTATATGCTTTAAATATATCATCACACGATGTTTTGGGTAAATTTTCTAAAGCATATTTATAAATCATTCGGCATCTTTCATGTTCTTTTTGATTTTCTTCAAATTTAGCAAATGCCAAATATAAATTTTCATTCATATGCTCAATTCCAAAAAATTCAATACTACGTTCATAAATTTTTCTTGCCGATTTGATATAACCATTTTGTTCTTCAAATCGTGCATATCTTATCCAATTTTTTGCTTCTGGATGTATCATAACAAATCGTTCATATAATAAACGAGCTCGTTCTAATTCATTATAACGTAATTCAAATTTAATATACGTATTCCATGCTTGCTCATCTGGCTCCCATTCCATCCATCTTTCAAATATTTGTCGACATCCAGCAATATTTGATAATATTTCTTCCATATACGTATATTTATACCACAATTGATTTGCACGAGGTAATATGGCTATAGCCCGATCCCAAATATTTCGAGAATGATTGATTTGTTTATATCTCATTTCCATTTCAGCATATTTAAGCCAAATGGCAATATTTCGATAATCAACATCCAGCGCACGTTCCCATATTGATCGCGCACGTTGAATTTCTTGTTGTGATTCTTCCCAATGAGCATATTTAACCCAATTAACCATTTTCTGACGATTTTTTCGAATAGCATCTTCAAATTCTTTACGTTTTTTCATACGATATTCAGCCAATTCTTCAGGATCACTTATTTTCTGTTTTGGTGGTGGAGCAACATATTCTAATTGTTTTTCTTTTGCTTCACGTAAAAGTTGTTCAGCTGTTATTTGAATCGGTGCCGGCATTTTATTTTTAACCTTAAACAAGAGAACGAATTTCGTTGAAATGGATTTTTACAAATAGTTACAAAACGACAAAAAAAAAAACATTTACATACCGGCACGATTTTTGGGCCTTTTTGAGGCTTTTCATCTTCCATCATCATTTTATCCATTGTAGTAGATTGAAGATATAACAGATTAAAGATCTATATCGATATGAATTTGATATCTAAAAATAAAAACCCAAAACGTATACCAAAATGTATACAACTATCATGGAAGGAGAGTAGTTAGTTAGTTAGCTTATTGAAAAACAGTCATGAGTACACAGTAGCACAAGTTGATACAAGCAATTCAAGTAAATACAGCTAATACAGAAATGACTTGAGCCGTATTGAATAAGGACTATGTCTATCGTTTCACTTTTTGGCAAATGTTAGCAAATGTCTGTATAGACATTTGCCAAGAAGTAAAAGGATAGAGATATTCCGTATTTGATACGGCTCTACTAAAAGATTAGTAACATATTCTGCCGCGCACCCATATAACATACTAAAAATAAAATAAAAAACAGAAAAAAAGACAAAGAAAACACAACTAAAAATTTGAAATGGCGTTAGCGTTCACATATAGAACGTTGAGATGAGATAAATGCTAACATTGTAAAAGGCTACGCAAACCAACTTTAAAGATACGCAAATTAGATGCAGTAACAAGGGACTCAGTTAGTAACCTGTTCCAGTCAACCAAAGTCTGCCAAAAGAAAGATGATGTTACTGTTTCGAATTCAGAGAAAGGAACCATTAAGAGAGTACAAGGAATCATTAATGGACTCGAAATAAGAGCAAAGTAGAAAAACCGTGACGAAATTCCACCGTGTTACCAGAATTAAGTGACTAAATCGAACAGACATCACAAGAGAAAAATCTCATTCAAAGCTGTAACAAATCATAAACGTAAGTGGGTATGCATCGACTGCAGGATCAAACAGCTAAGAATAGAAAAACGCACGTAAAACAAAAAATTTTTTGTTAATATAGCACTACTACGAGCTATTGTATGCAATATTATGCAAAAATTCTGCACTCTTAAGAATTTTCATTTCAGTTGATGTTTGTTTCGATTACTATGATAATCATAATTATTCTTCTAAACTTGAGATATACATTGTCTGTTGTCCTTTTCTTATTGTTTTCATTATATATTTAGCTGAACTAAATAGAATTATTATCGATTTATATTATTGAACGTCAAACTTGACTCAATAATCTCTTTTGCACCTATATTAGTCGTTGAACATTATTTTCTTCTCTATAGAAAAGCTACATGGAACAGCTAAAATTTTGATTGTTTTTTATTTTTTTCTTCTTTTCTACTTTTCTTCACATTTATCTACTATATCCTATCTAACTATAGATCGACTAAGATAGATTATTGAAAAATAGATGGTTTAGGCTATGGAAAAATAATAACGACTAAGTTCAAGGAATACTTAACTTTTCTTGTTAACATTTTCAGATTCTACTGTTAGATGTTTCTTTTACAATCAAAACAATCACCATCGACTCAGAGACACAGAGAGAAGTGAGAAAAAGTTGAAGAATCCTTGAATCACGTCCGAGTCCTGTTGACAAACTGAAGGATATACTAATGATAGATAGATTTCTGTTTGAATATTTCATATACATATTTCGCAGAAAATACAAATAAGTAAGTTACTGAAAAATTAAATCATTACTTCATTGACAGAAGCTGCTTTTTGAAAAACAAAAACTAAGCACAAATATCTTGGGATGTGCGAAATAATAGTGATTGTTTACAGCAACGCTCAAAAGTCTATTAAAATCCAAAAAAAAGAATGTTCACCTACAGACACTTGAATCATAAAAAGCAAAGATCAGTGCATTTTAGGTAATTCTACCATCGAATAGTCACTTATAGAAAGGATTATTGTATTATCATAAGATTATGAAAAGACAAAAATAGCAGATAAAACTAAAAGTAAAACAAAGATCTTAGAAACATTAATCACACTGCTTCTTTTGGAATCTTTATTTTCAAAAAGTGGATAATATTTCTTAAAAATAACCAACATCTAAGAGAATAACATCTAAAATGAGTAATAAAAACTAGAAAATGAATTTTCAACTATCGTCATAGTAAAAAAAAATCGGACGGTTATTTAAACTTTGTAAAAAAAGTTTGTAAAAAGAAGTTTAAAATCATCGAACACAAAGTATTTGTTTAACAGTTGAAAAAAGATAAATAAAACAAAATATGTACATACAATTCTACTAAAACAAAAACCACTGTTATACATTTTGAACTGATGGACGGATTAGAACTATATACAAATTATTATATTTAAACATTTTCTTTCCAGTTTGGATAGTTTTGAACTAAAATCTCTTTTATTTCATCTAGAAAAAATGGTGAATATTGAAAATTAAACAGAGATGCATAAATTTACAGCTTACTATAACATAATTTTCGTTGTAAACGTTTTAAACTTTTAAGAATATCATCAATGAGTAATGGAATAGCATCGTCATATTTTTGAGTTAAATAATCTAGAATCTAGAAATATAAACATATAAATATGCAAAACACAAAACAGTAAATGTAAACCATACCATTCGAAATTTTTGTTTTTGAGCGATTGATTGTTTGTCAATTTCATCTATTTGTATATCTTTTACTTTCATTTCTCTTGCAATTAGTTTCCATTTGTCGGTAAGATTTTCAATGAGATAGATTTTGATTAAATCAAAATTAATTTTTTCGTTCTGTATCATCATTGAAGAATCACTTTGATGATGATGATAATTCGATAAACATATGCGTTTTGATGTTGATGAGAGCGAGTCAGCCACAGCAATCAATGATCGAGGATGTTTTAATACTGATTTTGTATGTTCTGTACAATAATCTATTGATTCAGAATTTATTTGAGATTGAAAAAATGAATTAGTAGATGATTTCATTGATAAATCTAGAACACCATGTGGTACTGGAGATATACGATTAAACATGGAATTTGTCGCTGTAATTCCTGTAACAAAATTTTGTTGATATTGCTCGAGTTATTCATTTATTAGAAAATTGCTTACCATAATCAAAAATGTAACGTCTTTTGGTGTCTGTGCTACGTTTTCGTGGTTCAACTTGTCTACCAATCATTCCTTTTAAGAAAAAAAAGAAAATAGAAACACAATTACGTTCTGAATATGTTCATACAAACCTGGAAAAAAATAGAGTGCCTTTTTTGTTAACAATGACTTAAACTCAGCTGTTTGTTTTTTTCCTTTATTGGTCGCTTCTTGTGTAATACAGCCATTTATCTAAAAGAAGAATAAAAACATCTAAGTTGACAAAAACAACCACACACATTTTTATCAATAACCATATTCATCATTGAACATAAATCTGTATCTTTGGAATGTTTTGAAAATATATCGACTAATGCATTCATATACCAACTTCCAACATTGGGTTTTCGAAATGCCGTATAACCTATGAAAAAGAAATAATGAGTCAATAAATATTCTCTCTCAAGAAAGAAAAATTCTAACCTTTTTGAGATGGAAATCCAATTAACATATCAGATCTTGTTGGTAAATGATTTATACTATCACATTCATCTTCTTCGATGCTATCATTTGTATAATCATAAATATCATCGAAGATAGTTGGTTCTAAATCAACATAACATCCAGGATCATCAACCGGACCCAATACAGGATCTAAAATGACCAAACAAAGAATTGTGAAACAATAATTTTATATTTAATTGAGAAAATATATACTATCTCTGCAACATTGAATAAAAAATAACTTTGGTTTTCCTGCTAAATTTGGACAATTAACATTACTAAATAAATCATAAATCTTCTCAAGATAAATCTAGAAATACATTCAATCATTAGCAAACATTTACAGATAAGAAATACTCGTATACCTTTTCTCCATCTTGAGCTGTCAACGATCCTTCTTCACCGTGACTCATTAAACACAATACACAACATTGTGAATTAATATGTTTCGATGATTGAGCAAATTGTCGTAAAAGTTCTAGAAAATTCTAAAATATAACAAAAATGAATAAGAATATATAAGTCTGACACATGTTTCTCTTACTTCTGCTCTTAAATCATGTCCTTCAATATCTGTATAGATGGTTATTTCAAAAAACAGTTGTTTAAATAATTCATTGAGTAAAATTGTATCTAAATTCGACCATCGTCTAGCCATTCCATTAATATTATATACATTAATAATTAAACATTGTCCTCTAGGCATTTTATACATTGGATATACCTAAATAGAAATAAATATGTTCTTTTAGAAAAATCAGTTTAAGAAAATAACCTTGAATCTACTTCATTTTTCTGTGCAGCAAAAAATTCTTTGGTACACGATTCGACTTTGATCGATCTAACAGTATAATTAGATGTGATATCAACATGACGATTTTGACTCTTTTGACTATCTATTGATAGTAGTACTATAGATGAATTATTGTCACTGTTGTAACTATTGCTTCTCGATGGTTCATAATTATTGTGGGTAGATGACGTTGGAAACGGCTCTGTCATCTAAAATAAAAGAAAAAATAACGACACAATTTAATCAACAAGAGAAATTAATTGAGATAAATTTTGTTCGGACTGTTAAATAGTAGAGTGTTGCATTTTGAATGAACTTTATATGTTAAACTAACTTAATATTGAAAAAAACGTTTACAATTATTGTTAAAGTCTATTATAAAACAAAACAGTAATTCAAATGGAATGTCTATAAGAAAAGTTGTTACAATAAAATAAACAAACAAACAGAAAGATGTTTTAGTGTCTTGCGAAAACGCAAAAAAGAAAAGTGATAGAATTCACATTGCAGTTAACATTCAGAAATCCTGAATTAATTTAAAATCTGACAATTTAGAATAAATACAAAAACATATCCGACTACAAAGAAAAAAAACGATTGTATAACTTTTCTACGTTGATATTTTACATATTGATAGCATGTTTTCGAGACGAAACATATGATCATTAACGCAAAGAAAAAACGAAAACAATTTGAATACAATATCAGAACGTAAATAAAATGCATAAGAAGTTAATAAAAAAAATGGACGTCTAAAAGTTGAGTATATTTGCACAAAAAAAAAGAGACAAAATTCATATTAGAAAAGTTCTAAACAAAGTCTAGCAATATAGAAAAGATATTAAAAATAAGCATTTGTACAAAAAAGTTGGATAAGATCTTTGGAAAAAACCATTGTGATCGTTATTTTTCTTGAGAAAAAATAAAATAGTTTTATGTATTGATCGCCGATCTTGGTTGATATAACACACTACTACTATTATCTGACTCATAACCATTGCCATTATGTCCGTTGTAGGGCGAATTTCTCATTCCCATATAGGGATATCTTAAACCATTTGTTGCTTTCGGTGTATGATGGTAATGGTGATGATGATGTTTACTACCATTACTTGCATGCGAACGAAGAGAATTCATCGAATGAGAATGTTCATGGATCATACGCTTTCTATCATCAGCTTCATCACGTAACAAAACATATTCTTCTCGATTACGTTGAAACACAAATAACATATAACAACCAACTAGAATTCCAAATAAACCCATGAATATATTTTCCCAAAATCCACGTCGATACCAATAATTCATAACAGGTCCACAACCCCTTGTATTTACGATTTTTGGATTGGGGTTTGCCAACATACCCGAACCACAACCAAAATTCATTTGATACTATAATGATACAAAACTTGAAGTCTGCAAATGTCTAGTTATCAAAAAAAGTGTTTGTTGATCATACAATATAGGCTGAATACTAAACTTCAACCTTAAGTTTACCTTATGACAACACGTATCGGGCAAATCTGTTGTATAACTCGCCGAATAATCCAAATAGCTGTTCCAACCACAACAATGAAAATCACGTTGTCGTCTAAAATAAAAACAATTTAGTCACTTTTGAATGATTTGCTCCGTATTTATATGTGAACTTACTGATTAACGAACGCTGTTAAAATAAATACACGTGGTGGTACTCTGCCTTGTGTAACTAATCGAAATGATTCTTCGCGATATTTGAGCTCTTTAAACGCATTTCCCTTAAATCTTAAACGTTCAAGTAAAAATGTTTCTTTTGTTAAAAATCCTGCATTCATGTTAATCATTGTTACAGCGAACCAACAAAGACCACCAAGAATAGTTATTAGGGCTAAAGTAAATTGACTGTAGGGTACATATTCCATAAGAAATATATTTCGACGACGATAGGCATGAATTTGAAGTACAATAACTGAAAAATATAAACAATGACAGTTAATAAATGTTTCATACTCATTCTCAATTAAAACCGTACTTGCTAGTAAGACAAAACCATAGATGTAAATAAATGCAAGATAAACACGTGTTATTGTCAAACGATCCCAATAATAGATAAACATATTAAATTCAACCCATGGCATTGTATAATCTGTCCATGCGGTCCATTCTTCGAAAAAACCCCAATAAATTGACATTGATATTATAATGAAGATGGCGAATGATAATAAAATACCATTGATAGCCATCAAGAAACGAAATTTATCCTATAAGAGAATAAAAAGATGCGTAACATATTTTTTTGTATAAACTGAGAAGAAATATCAAACTTACTCGTTGACGTCGTCCATATGAAATCATCTTCATGCTAAACGTCGATTTATCGATCTAGATGGAAAAATAGGATCTACCTTATTCTCATTTATAATTTTTCTCGCAGCTCATAATATTCGATAAACTCAGTATGAAAATTAAAAATCACGACAGCATCAGCGGGTAGCAATCATCAGCAAAAATAGCATATTCTCACAAACACTGAGTAAATCCGTAAAAAGTTCTGCTAGTATTAAATAACAAAACATAAAACATCGATGGCATCTGTGTCCAAAAGCGTTCTCTGTGTACAAGTATCAGATATTTTCTGCAATCTTGATTTAATAGAGAGAGCATAAGAGTTTGTACAAGTATCCCTCTTTTTAGCTACTGCTTGTTATGTCTCAATGTTCGGACAGAAAGAATTATCATTGTCAAAATTATGAATCAATCAAAATTTAGCTATCACCATTTTTATCTGTTTATTATTAACGAAGAAGGTGTCAGTATCTGCTGAGAGCTTTTTCGAGAGCTCATTATAATCCGCGTGTAGTGAGCAACTTCTTGTATTGAAAAGAGGACTAAAATCGATATTACTGAGTTGCTGTAACTGACAGTGTCCGATAATAACTCTTCCAACAATCGCGACTGTCAACGCCTTTTAAACTAAAGGCATGTTGGCAGTCGCAACGGTCAGACAGTAAATTATCGAATACTTATCTTGACCAAGTTACAACGTGACGGATCACGGCTTTTCGTCTTCCATATTTAGCTACAAAAACTAACCTGTTAGAGGAAGGTGTGATGGTGCTAATTTTGGATGTTGTAGATGTTATGGTGTTGAACGACAATTTAGACTTTTAGACTTCCTTCCAGAAAAAGTCGGACTCCCCGGAGGAGGCGGGAGTAGCAGCATGAGAGTGAATCATTATAAAAAAAGCTCAAGGTGAGTAACGGCAATGGATGTTATAGGATAGTTAGCAGATTCTAAAAGTCTAAAAGTTCTATATCCTCGATCACCACCATGACATCTACAACATGCAAAAGTTCTCCACTTCAACTTCTTGTATGATGACTCACCCTCATACTGCCGCCCCCCCCCATCCCCTCCAGCTAGCTCGACTTTTACCAGAAGAAAGTCTAAAAGTCTAAAAAGTCTAAATCGCCGTTCACCATCATAACACCTACAACATCCAAAATTAGCACCATCACACCTTGATGTGTTCCACCTATCTGTGCTCAGGATTTCGTCTCCACAAATAGGAGTAACCGTAATTTTACGTTATCTATTCTATTTACTGATGAGGAGTGTAAAGTCGGTTTTTTGAACTGTCTTTTCTACTATCTGAAATTAATTAGACAAAACTTAAAAATATTGTGGTATATATAGGAAGCTCTGTAAACTTAGATTAAAAACAGGTTTGTATGAATAAACACAAGACGGGTGTTATTTCACGAGTTTTCTAATCTGATTAAATACATCCTACAAGATTTTATGTGAGCTAATGTTTTCTTACAAAACCTTGTCGTAAGGCGCAAGAAAATTATATTATTTACTACTTGTATCTTCGGTTAAAGCCCTGATGAATGTGCTTCAGACAAGTACTTGCGCAAGTGATTGACTCTAAATATCTAAATTTATTTTCTAAGCTTATACTGACTGAGGGAGTTCATCAGCCGAGTAGATGGAGTTTACTACTTAATATGACGGGTGTTAGGATATTATTCACTCTTATGTTGTCTCACTGAGTCCTTCTATGCAGTGGCGGAGCGACCGGTTGTGTGAGGGGTGTGTACACCTCCCCTGCTTCCAGAACTTTCGTGGGAAATTTGCTCCCATTTGAGTCAAAAATGCGGGAAACTTACTCCAGTTTTGCGAAAGAATAGAGTGAGTGCACTCCGATTTTGGCAAACTGTTTTTTGCAACTTTTATGGTTTTTTCGTAGATATTTGCTGTTTTCTCCAATTTCTGGCTATCTTTGCTACAAAAATACGACAAAATCGGGAAAAGCTACAGCAAGGTGGAACACCATCTCAAAGACGGGCAGATCCAAGTCCCCGCTTCAAGTATTAGTTGACATACTTGGACTTGAGTGTTTTTTTGTCAAGTCTAGTTGGGTTCCAGTTAGAATCTATCATAATCAAGAATGAAGTCAATGTAATCTTAAACGTAGTTGAGTTTCTTTTTTCATCAAATATATATCTAATGTGGCATAGTGACTATACTTTATGTAGTCGTCGTATATGATTACGAGATTTGTCCGCTAGATTTATTGAGAAGACGCAGAAATAATTAGTGTAATGGTTCTGCTTTCTGCTATAAACTTGACTGGACTAATTTGACAGAACAGACTAATGAATAACGATGGATATTGTATCTTTTATATTGTTTATTTTCAGTTCTTACACTAGCTACTTTATCAAACTTGCCAGAAAATCTTTTGGAACTTACTGCTTTTTGAACCCCCCCCCTCCTTTAACTTCTTCACGCCGCTACTGCTTCTATGTTTTATTAAAATTAATTGCTTGTTATTAGTAACAGCATTGTAATATGCAATGCAAAAGTCTTTGCAAAAATGTCCAGCATTACTTCTGCATGTTCCTGATGAGTTGGCGATTTAATTAGTTTTCCGTTGGAAAGAGCAAAGTCTGAACTTCAAAGAACAGCGAAAATATAAATGAGAACATAGAATTTGCAATTGAGTTTGAGTGAAAAAAAATATAAATATAAAACGTCGCCGAAAAAGCTCTTGCAACGCATTCTTTCCTTTAAGTTTTCACTGTAACTTGAGGAGAAAAACTTTTTTAAAAACGAAATAGATGAGAATGTCGCCTGCACTAAACTGTACCGATCCATCTACTGTCGAAAATTCTCATTAACTCCTTAATAGTAAAAAAAACTTATTATAAAACTCCGTACTGTTCATAAGAAAGGTACGCCATAAAACTGAGTTTGTAGAGAATTGAATGCTGTTTCAGAAAATGTGTTTTAGGAAAAGAACACAGTTCATTTAGTATATGAAAATTATTGATTAAGCCTAATCAACTGTTCTTTCGGAAAGAAGTGAAAAACTTTTGAAGTTCTAATTGAAAAGTAGATCAAAAGATAAGTTATTACATTCCATTCGAAAGAGCAATAAAAACACTTCTAGTTCTATAATTACATAATTTCAAACTTAGTCTGTTATAGCGAAGAAATACTTTTGTTGAAAGAGATATATTTGAAGAGAGAGGATGTTACAAAAGGTTTTTGCGTGATCTATCGTATTTAGACTTTTTCTCACTTAAACTCAATTACAAAAGATTGTTTTCTTTGTTCTTTGAAGTTCAGACTTTGCTTTTTCCAACGGGAAAATACTTAAATCGCAAGCACATCAGGAACATGCAGAAATAATGCTCGAAAATTTTGCAAAGACTTTTGTACCCAGGACATTGAAAACCACTAAGTTAATTGCCAGTTAACTGTCAGTTAACTGACAATTAATGAACAGTTTACTGCCTGTTTTTAGGCCGGTCAGACCGTTTTTAGGTGGTGTTATGATGGTTTGGATGGTATGGTTTTACCACCTGAAATAGGTGGTTTTTCAACTGCGTAAAAACTGTCAATAAACTGTGATGTTGTGAATCGAATTTTCATGAGACTCATGTCCGTTCAAAGGCGGTTTACTGGCTGTTTTTTTGAGCGTATTTTTAAAAGATCTAGAAACGGCCTGTTTACTGGCTATAAATAGGCGGTTTCAAAACAGTTCGAAGTAACAATTTACGGCCTTAAGACACGCAGTTTTAGGGCCGTTTTTAGACA